TGTCGTTGTTGATGTTGTTGATGTTGTTGATGTTGTACGGCTCCTTTAACCACAACCCTAAACCCTAAACCCTAAACCCTCCCGACCTCGCCGGCCCTTTCCTGGAGCAGCTCTTCGCGCACAGCCTATCGGGAGTAGTAAGACTGCGAGGTCGGTCTAACAGGGGCCGGAAAACTTAGAATCGGATTTTGGGGTATAGTGTACACTGTTACTGATAGCAAGGAACCCTAAATAATACTATTTTTAATGGTTTAGGCTTCTATATATTAAAAAAACCGCCGGGGGCTTGAGGTTTCAGGAGTTCAGTGTAGCAAACTTGAGGGGGAGTTTCAGCAATTCTCAGCGGTGAGGGCTTTATGGCCTTTGATACGGTTCAGGCGGTGCGATTCGGGACATAGAGATTCGGGAGGTATACATGACAGTCACTCATTCGCTCGATCTGAGGTTCTACAAGGGGCGCCTCTGCCAGCGGCAAGTGCATGCCTTGGTGTTGGGGCATCCGCTGCAAGTCGCCGCAGCATGATAGGGAAGTCACAGGGGGCACGGACCGCTCCAACTGCGGCTGGGGCACGCCGGATGTGCTTTCGAACAAAGTCCGCTCCGCGGAAGTGCCTGAATGCCGGGTTGATCACCACTCAACAACACCTTCAGACTTTGCCTTCAAACCCGTTGGACAGAAGAGTTGTCCAACTCTGCTGATTCGCCCTGGCTCACGACGAGAAGCTTGCCGCACAACTTGCACTTGAACTTCTCATCCGTGACCTTCAGAATCGCCTTCTCCCTCTCCTGCTTCACAAAAGCTTTCAAAGCACTCCGCCGGCACTGGGAGGCACACCAAGGGCAAGAAAACTCTCGGCCTCGGCCACGCGTTGCACCACGTGCTCATTGGAGTAGTCAGGGGCAGCTGCAGGTTTGTCGAAGGACCTGCATAAGGGCAGGGAACGTAACTACGAGCCCATGTCGTCTTCTTGGCAGGCAAGCCGCACGCTGCCCAGGAAGCTCTCCAGTCGCTGCTCATGAGCGGCGGACCACTCGCCCGGCGTGCACTCCGGCTGTGCCGGCGCACGCAAGGTGGCGATGCCGCAGGCATCCCGCAAGGACCACTCGTCATCACACCAGCGTGCGGCGTAGAAGCAGAAGTGGTGCACGCGACGCAGGTAGGTGACGCGAAGGTCTAGCTTGAATTCGGTGGTACCATATGCATTCAGCACCAGGGCCGTGATGTCTTTGGGCACCTCCGTGAGGTCGTCCAGGCGCTGGATTACCTGCTCGGAGAGAGCCAAGTCCTTGAGAAGCCGCTCCGGAAGTGACATCTCCTTTGCCCGCAGCAATCCACACAGGAACCTAGAAGAGAACTTTCGGCAAGCCCTGAGTCCTGCGGCAGCACCAGCGCCGCCAAGTCAGGCTTGGGGCTCAGAACGGAAGCACGGCCCGTCCCTTCGCTTCCTGGCAGCTGCTTTGGTTCAAATCTGCAGCGCAGTCCATGGTCCCTGTGACACAGTGTTGCCTGGTCTGCTGAGCAGGGTCTCTGCGCTCCGCATGAGCACGACGGCTGCCGCGGTGGCATCCGCGGCTGAAGTGAACCTTTCAGAGGCCACACGACTCCAGTTCCAACACCATGCCAAGACATGTGGCACCCCTTGAATCCCAACCTGGCAAAGAAGTCTCGGGCCAGGTCCGTTCCTTCGAAACTCGTCCAGGCAGCAGTGCAAAACCCCGGGCGATCCTGCCAGGGGTTCCATGCATTCCGTGCATCCACCAGCATGCTGCAAACTTGCACATGTCGGCTCCTGAATCACATCCAGGACATCCCATACACTCACTGCCAGTGGGAGGCTACCTCGAGAGGCAGCCATTCAAAGGAAACTCCAATTCGGACAGGAAACTATGCCAGGAACTGACAGTGACATCTTAGGTATGCAACCTGCATCCTGTCCTCCCCTTGCCGAGCTGCGAATCACCAAGGATCCCACATCCGGGTCGAAGGCAAACTCGGGCGCTTGCAGATGCCCAGCTATGGGGCAGGTGGCTCCGCGTCGCGCCTGGCCTGTTCGGAGGGACAGCTCGCAGTACCTGCCCAAGGTAGACAGAGAGACAGATCGGGAGGCAGCGACTCGCCCGAAGCCGAAAGGCCGAAAGCCGAAAGACCGCGCCTTCCCTCTCGCAGGTCCTGGGGCCCCACTCAGCCCATGCCACACGCATAAGACGAAAGAGAGCGAGGGGAGGGAGGTTTGTGTGGATGCGAAGTTGGAGAGCCATCCCTCCCTGCTAGCAGACCCTGTGACTGACGCAGTCCTGAGCAAAGGTTGCGGCATTCAACTGCGTCGTGCCAAGACGTAGTTCATATCGCCGGAGCCGAGAGAGAGGATGATAAAGGTCGAAGAAGAGCCCTGTCTGCTTGATTGCCTGCAGCTCTTCTTTCAGCCTTTCGTGAATGTACTGCTGGAACCTGTTCATGACAAATTCTGGAGAGTCCTCGTTGGAGGCGTGCTTTAGCACAAAGTCCCGGAAACTGGGCTCCGCCGCCTTCGCCTTCTCTGCGTCCGCATGCACTCCTGCCTCGGTCTTTGTCGGTGCCTCTGAGGGGGACGGAGACGGGGCCGACGGGGCCGGGGTGAGATGCCGCGGCGCCGGCTGCTTCTGAGAAGGGGAGCGGCTGAGGCTACGCCTGCGTCGAGGACTGCGAGTCCGGCTCTTGCTGGAGCTCTGTGGAGAGCGCCGGCGGCAGGGTGTCTTGCTGCGGCGCCGGAAGGTGCAGGGAACGTTCTTGCCACCCTTGCCCTTGCCCTTGCCACCCTTGCCGCTCTTGCCGCCCTGACACCACCGAGCAAGATTAGCCAGGCATGAAAACCCTACGTGTAAACAATTAAGCACGCCTTGCCACCACTGCTGGGTTTCTCATCGATCTCCCGCCCATCTGGATGATTGAACCTACATGCGCAGGACTGTGGAAGCAAATCTCTGTAAAAAATCTGCTTGTTCTCCAGCACAGCCGAGGCTGGAGCCAACAGGTGAAGCGTGTGCAGGCACGCCCGTGCCAGCAATTGATGGTGTGGCGATTTGAAACTCCGGGACCACCTGTCATGTTGACACGCTGTGGGCAGCACTCAGCGTCTCTCCCTGGTCTGGCTGAAGATTGCTGCTGGAAGTTTAACCCAAAGCTTCTGTAGGCTTCTTACAGTAGTGCGTCTTCCCACGACTTGTCCAAAAAAACCTTTGCGCCAAAGCCCCGCCTGCCCGGCCGCGGGATCGCCGGGAGCGCGAACGCCGCGAACGCCGAGGGCGACGGGAGCGCCGCGCGCGCCGCGAGCGGCGTGAGCGCTGAGAAGGGGAGCGCTCAGGGCTTGAGCGAGGCTCGCTAACCTTGTCTGTCTTTCTCTACCAAGTTTCGCAAATCGCAAGGCGAGGCAACAACACTAATGACGTAAAGAACGAGCAAGAAAGCGAGTACTTCTGGCGGCAGTCGGCAGCGGTCTCAGCAGCCTTTGCAGAGCCCTTGCTGCTGGCGACTTCTGTAGAGGTGTCCGAATCGTTTGCCGCGGCCTCCAGGGAGCATCCGGTGTATGGGCTTCAAGGAACTGACATGAAAGCAACTCATCAGCAGGATTTTCTGAGGCAGAGTTTACGGGGCCTCCTCCTCCCTGGTTTTCTCTTCGTCCCTGGCTGAGTGCCCGGATGGAGAGGGTGGGGGAGGAGCGTCCTTGGTGTTGTCTTCGTCGATGGCCGAGTGCTCGGACGAGGAGGACGACATCGCAGCACGAGAGGACAAGAGCAGCGTTCGAGACTGGCGGCTGCAGATGGGAGAGCATTCCCACTTCTCCAAACTCAAAAGCCCCAATGTAGTACAAGAGGTTCGCTGTTAAAGTGAAATGATGTGAATACATGAGGCATAGCACATGGTATGTATGTATGTATGTATGTATGTCTGTATGTCTGTATGTCTGTATGTCTGTATGTCTGTATGTACGTAGGTATGTAGGTATGTAGGTATGCATGCATGCATGCATGTATGTATGTATGTATGTATGTATGCAATGTCTGTAATGTATGTAATGTATGTAATGTATGTAATGTATGTAATGTATGCAATGTCTGTAATGTCTGTAATGTCCGCAATGTCTGTAATGTCTGTAATGTCTGTAGTGTCTGTAATGTCTGTAATGTCTGTAATGTCTGTAATGTCTGTAATGTCTGTAATGTCTGTAATGTCTGTAATGTCTGTAATGTCTGTAATGTCTGTAACGTCTGTAATGTATGTATGTATGTATGTATGTTTGTATGTATGTATGTATTTATGTACGTACGTAGGTACGTATGTACGTACGTAGGTAGGTATGTATGTATGTATGTGTATATGTGCAATATGTTTATGTACAGAGAGACAGAGGGAAAAGTGTGTGTGTGTGTGTTTGATAATTTATGCAGTAACATGAAACATGCAGTATACCTAAGACCGCATAAGTGCCCAACCTCGGAAACATCCGTGACGTTGTCAGATTGATTGATGCCTATTTACTCGCCTTTCTCTTTCTGCTCCTCTTTTCATACGTGTTGCTTTTATGATGTAGTCATTGTGCATCTTCTTTAGCTCACTCGTCTGAGTTATGGTCCTTATGGTGGACTTTGCTCCTGTGGAGAGCAGTGGGTATCAAGCAACAGACAGTCGGAGCCTCGATTTGGAGTATCCGGTTTGGTGCTGCTGCCCGACCCAGTAGTAGCAGAGGCCAGGCTTCACGCTAGACTTCACCAAGACTTTCAGGCTACAGGACTACGCAAGGCGCGAAGCACGGATGGGTAGCCCACTTCGGAAGTAGACGCTCGCGTAGGCGAGGGTCAGCACCACATCAGCATAGTGGTATTCGCACAAGTGCATAAGCCGAATGCCCTGCACCAGGAGCAGCTAGGGCAGGCTTTACTATCAAAGATCCTCTTGCTAGTTTGCGGATCCAAGGAAGTGCTGCTACTTCCACAAACTCTGGACAGGCTACACAAGTACAAGGACAACCTATGTACAAGGCAGCAGCAGAGCCACCACAAAGTCACTCACCACCACGAACACTGCAGCGGTGCCAAAAAATGGCAAAGACTGACAATCTGCCCACCTGGAGGACCTTCTTGTAGAGCGTGTCGTGCTTGGCCGATGACTTCTCAATCGACTTCTCTCCGACTTCTACAGCGAAACCATGTATGAGGCTTGCAAACCTGCGGACCCGGGCACAGTTCTTTTGGATCTCGGGGTCGTTTTGCGTCGACTTTGCTTGCTTATCAGGGCAAACTGCAACCCACCGGCCCCCCCACATTTCGCGGATTCGCACAAGCGTCTTGCACGCTGCCACGACGGCGTAGGACCGAGAGCGTGCTCTGACAACATTGATGTGCTAAACGTGCCAAAGCCATCTCATCGTAAGTGCCTACAAGTCTAAGGTCTAAGTAGCGACAGTGCGTTCACGTTCTCCTTATGGCTACGACTCCAACATGACGGCTATACAGAATGATCATGCCACTGATGCTGATGACTAAGAGGTTGCTACTGATGACAAGTGTGATGACCATGACCACCAGCACTTGCATCACCAACATGGCTGATCTCGTGTTCTTCTGCTTCCCATGAAACAAGGGACCTTGACTCATCGACGTGTTCCCAAACCCAAAACCGCAGGACTGTGTCCTACGTGGCCTCCAAACCAAGACGACATCGTCCTTAAAATGTGCATACCTGCGCCAGCGGAATCGTCTTCCTTAAAGGTGTCCGTTCCATGCACTCGCAACGAGTCTGGCTGCTCGCGAGGACAACGTGCTCACCGATGACTGTCACCTTTCTTTACCTTTCACTCATGCGAGCAAGAGCATTTATCCGTCTGCGTTCTCATTGTTCTACGCAGTGTTGGGATGATATACTGCGAATGCAAGGATCGCGAACCCCCAATGGCTGCTAAACCTTGGACCCTTAACCTTGATATGGGCACTTGCCGATGTCCGGCTTGCACGACAGGATGTCGTCTGCTTCGTCCCCACGCTCCGATGGACGCTCCTGCTCCAAAAAACTTACCAGGAGGTTTTGCCATCTGGCTACATGACATCTTGTTGCGATACACCATCAGGGCTCATGAGACACTAGAGCATGGGGGATGACAAGGCGAAGCTTCACGGATGCAGCGGTCCTTAGGCAGTTTGCCTGAGCGGTGCCCTCTGGGAGCAGCTATGTTTCCGTGCGCCGGCAGCGTTGCGCTGCCCTCCACGTCGCGATGCCGCAGCCTGGCGATGAGCATCTCTTCGCAGGACTCCAAGAACTCCAACCCATGAACCCAAAGCCCAAGCATTCTAGATCAAAGGGACAACAGGAAAGCTTTTTCGGGGCGTGGGAGGGCTCTCCACAGATTCGAGCCCTGGCAAGAGATCCCCTTGAAGGGTACTTAAGAGGGTTCCCTGTAAGGGTTGCCGTCAGGGGTTCCTGTTAAATACCCTACAGTAGCGGAGATGTTGCCGGCTTTCGTCAGTGCCATAAACGTCATCCTTCTCAGCAACATCCCCAGCACCATCTCCACAATCATGACCATGCCGCCATGCTGACGCACAAGCCTTCGATGTCTACTCTGATGGAGATAAGGTACCCAAAGCTCAGGTCAAGGAAATCGCACCTGACACCGCCACCCGACTGCGGCAGCGCATCGTCCAGGAGGGAATACCTCACATCACTTGGGTTCGACGTGGGCTTCAGGGCATACTGGTTGCGAAAAACCGTGTTGTCGCACAAGCGACGAATGCCGTCACTATTGCCACGAAGAGTCTCGTTGCGATTGCGATGCGATTGCGTTTACTACTGCTGCTTCTGCTGCTGCTGCTACTTCTACATCTACTTCTACTCTTAGTCCTAGTCCTAGTCCTACTCCCACTCACTACGCTACCCTGGCCTCTCTAGTTCTGAGTTGATGGCCCGACATCGCGCTGGAGAAACTTGAGGGCTCGGTCAAGCTTGGAGTGAACCTGATCAAGACGACGCACGAGCTTCGAACAGCACTGCAAGCGATAGGGCCTCCGAGATGGCGAGCTCATTCTCTGTCTGCTGTGGAAGCAAGGCGAACCTGCAGGACTAAGGCATGATGGCATGAGCTTACACAAGCTGCACCGATGTCCCAAGCATCTTCCGTGGCAGCAGGATACCAGGTTTTCTTCCGGCAGACAGTTGCAACAAGACGGCTTGCGCCAGCCTGAAGCTTCATGCGAGCCTTTGTATCTCACATATCGATTGAGCTTTGGTGCTCCGGTTCCTCACTCCAAACCCTAAACTAGATTTCCTTAAACCCAAACACTAAAGCCTGAACCCCAAACCCTGAACCCTAAACTTTCTCGGGGTGCCAGACTAGGAGTACACTTGCGCTGCAGCAAGCGCGCAGCTGCTCGACGCGGCCAACCCAATGCTTGGTGTGAATCAAAAACGATAAGAATAATGATCATAGTAATGCGAACATTGATAGCACCAATAATAAGTAGCAGTGATAAGTCATAGCGGCACGAGATAACGATAAATACAAATGGCACGGCATAACGAGTCATAATTAAATTAGTGGTAGGAGGAATGACAACAGTAACAGCTGTACTGTCACAAAAGCAATAAGCACGACGACAGTACTACCAAGAGAAAAGACACATAACAATGATAAGCATAACAATTATAACTATCACATTGATAACTAGCAATCACCATCACAATCAGAAGAATAATTGCAATGATGGCAATAATGACACTTGAAGAAAGCTTAAAATGATAATGACAGCAAACTACTGATAAGAACAATTGGAGCAGTAGTAGTGGCAGTATTTGTTTTTGCTGCATCAGCAGCACGAGCGGCAGCGATAGTAGCAAGCACAACAGTCGCTGTTCTTAAAGTAGTCTAGAGCACGCTTCAACATTTGGGCTGAGCCGCAGTCCTTTGGACTAAAGCCGAGCACTTACCACGCGGAGATTTTGCAGCTTTGCAAAATCTCAGACTTGTCCACTCCGCTGCGCGACTCGGTGAAACTGATGCGGCATATGCTCGTCGGGCAGGGATTAACTTTACATCGCTGTTGCTGGGGTGGTGGGTCGAGGGTCATGAGCTCTTGCAGGACCAGGAAATGCAGGAAAGTACTCTTATCTGCTCGCATACTATCTCCCACCACAAGCAGCACTCCAGGCCAAGATAGAACCAGTTCTCTCAGCATTCGTTTGAAGATATCCTGAATGAGAAGTAACTTGCAGAATGCAGTCACTTTGACAAAGGGCAGGCATGAAGCATTCGGGTCTTCGACACATCACTCGGCGTTTCAGAGGCCCAAAGCCGGCAGGAGATCCTGCCAGGGCTCGGCATGCGAAATCCTAACTT